GGCTCTCTGTTCGCCATTTGCCTCCCTGGCGGTTCGGGTTGCTGATTGCAGTTACTGGATTTCAGCGGCTTAAATGATCGGGGGACAAAATAGACAACCTCAGACGGTCTTATCTGCGCTGCAACTCACACAAACGCACTGCCTCAGTCGCCCTCTCGCTCCAACACTCAGTGACCCTCCCTTTCGCTCTTTGGCAAGACAAACATGTGTGATCCAAATGTTCGTTTGTAAATTCTACAAACGGGGAAATACGATAATGAACTGAACTTCGACTCTATAACTGACTGCACCGAACGAAGACAGCAAAAGACGGAGGCCACACAAATACACAGTGACGGAAACCGAACCCTCCTTTCCAATGTGCATTACTTAAGCGAGGTCGAGTCCCCTCCCCGAAATATTCAGAATCCGGGCGACAGAAAAATTGGAGCCACGCCGCATATAATGGGATCTAAAGGCCTTCATATCGAGTATCCGTTATACCTAGTTTTTAAGGGGAATACCCTTATACCTAGTTTTCAACGTGGAAGAATTTACTTTATAATAAATTACAGGTGCCGCCACATTCTTTTCTATGCCAAAATCACAACTTTTGAACCAAATGAGATAATTGAATATTAAAGATAATAGTTTAATACAAACAAGTTTGAAACAGAAAATTCGCTTATAGAAACAAAAAATTATTTTAAAAATTTTTATTTTCTTATGTTTTGTTTTTATTGTTATAGCTATTTAATAAAATGTAGTATTATACCTATTTAGTAATGTATAATTTCTTAAAATTGTATTTTTCATTTTTTTCACGTTAATTATCAGAATTCGTAGAATAAGGTATATCTAATAGACAAATCATTTCCAAACTACAATAAATTGATTCCGCAAAGAAAAGATTTGATATATTAACCCTATAGAGTTAGCCAAGTTAAAATTAATCTTATGTGTAGAAGGTCTTGTTCAGTACATAAAATACTAGTAAGTTGAGAATAAATACAAAACATTTAATCCATTTTTTCGGATTGTATTGATTGATTAAATTAAAACTGACGAAAATATAATTATTTTAACTAGTTGTTATAGTTTTTCATCCATTTTATATTTCTATACAATTAGACAGTAAATAAAAATTTGAAATTTAAATAAATACAATAGAATTTAAACTGGCCGTTATTATACCCTTGCAGAAGGTATTATAATTTCAGTCTAAAGTTTGCAACGCAGTGATATATATTCTTGATCAGCATCACCAGAAGAGTCGATCACGTCCGTCTGTCCGTTCGTCTGTCCGTCCGTTTCTACGCAAACTAGTCTATCAGTTTTAGAGCTATCTGTTTGAAACTTTCCCAAAAGTTGTTTTTCTATTGCAGGTAGTATATATGACGGTATATATATATATGTATATTTTTCGGATTTGGTCATATTTTAATATTATGGAATTATGGTTTTAATTAAATTAAAATCAAACGTTTATCTCATATAGCTCCCAAAAATAAATAAAAAAATTAAAAAACATATATTTTGGTGTTTTTTCTATTTATCAAAATATTCCTTTGAGATTAAGTAATTATTTACTATCTCAGAATTACGCTTTTATTTTGTCAAAATCGGACAACAATCTCATATATGTAGCTGCCATAGAAACGCTGGCAAAATGGAGCCCAAAATCGACATAGCTTCATTGTTTTTAGTTATATAGGCATAGAAATCGAAATATATTTGTTTTGTAATAACTGCAAGGGTATATATTTTAGGAATACACAAACAAAAAAAAATGACCCGGAATTTTAAGGATATTATCATTTCTGACTTTGCTTCATTAATAATAACACAATCACAAAACACAATCTTGGCACTTATGCGTTTTAGTCATGACATTTTGCCTAAATAGTGTGGGCTAATTCTGGCAGCTTATTTTGAATAATTAACATTACCATAGCCCATACCATAAATCCAGACGGAAACACATGTCATTTACTTTATGCAACCATGAAGAAAATAAGCTTAACTTAAATTTAAAACTTCAATAACGATTGTCAGCCATAAAATGTTATTTAAAAAGTTGAATGTTAAAATGTTAGATTAGCAAGTTTGGTTAAATTGATTTATCTACTTATTTTCAAAATGTTTATACCTATAATTCTTAAGGGGCTTGTAATAATGTACAGCGACAAACGTAATTATTTGCACAGCAAACATATTGAATATAAGACTTTTTTTCTCTACCTAATATTCTGAAATTTAAATGAAACGACATTTTTTTAGATCGATTTACCAATAAACTGTCTGATTCAAGTTACATCATTAAATTAACTTCCATAACTACCTAACTAAAAAATAAAGAAACATCACCCTTAAAATGAGATTGCAATAAAATTAAGAACAAATTTTCGTATACCAAGACATTTACAAAAAAAAAAACTTAAACAAGAAAGGAAGCAAATTTCTGCAAGCCGAAGTTTATATAGCCTTGCAGTTATTACAAATCGACTACATTTCGATTTCTATGCCTATATTACTAAAAACAATGAAGATACATATATATGTCGACTTTGCGCTGCATTTTGCCATCGATTCTATGGCAGCTATATGATATTGTTGACCGATTTTAATTTAACTAAAACCGTAATTCCATAACAACAAAGTTATAATTTTTTTGAATTTTTTTCCGATTGTTTCTATGGGAGCTATATGATATAGTCGCCCGATCCGGCTTGTTCCGACTTATATACTACCTGCATTAGAACGACAAAAATTTTTTTTGAGTGCTTTCAAAAGCGGCTCATCCTTTAATTGATGCCCCTCAACTTAATGCGAAGTCAACAAATTAGTAGGACAAATCATCTTAAGATTTAAAAACACAACTAGCAGGTCACCGGTGAAATAGCTTGCTCATTAACTTTGGGAAACTCAGAGTGTAAACTCGCTCCTTGGGAAAGTCATTTGACTTTTTAATTAAACTTAATTAAACAATAAAAACTAAAAATACTGCCTTTTTCAACGCCACAGAATTTTTGACCCAGTTCATCAAATTAATTATAAAAAATTGAAAAAAAATATTTTTTTAACTTTTAGTATTTGGTATGTCCGCCCTTTTGGTCCACAACCGACTTCAGTCGATTGGGAATAGATTGTAACCCAGCCAATATTGAACAATAGAACCAAACCCTGTTTATTCCAATTTCTCAGCATTGGTGATTATAGATATTAAGATAAACATTTTTATCTATTGGCTTTCAATAAATTTAAAGTTTCCGACTCTGCTGCGAGCAAAAACCATAACGTCCCGTCATGCTCAAGGTCATTTTTATTGGAAATTATTGCGCTTTACGCTATACGTAAGAACATCATTTGGACCCAAAAATATTACGTCATTTTTGCTGATGAGTCAAAATTTAATATTTTTGATCCGATGGACGTTCTTAGCTATGGCGTAAAGCCAATACTGAGCTGCAGGACAAACATCTAAAACCCACCATTAAGCATGACGGCGGACACGTTATGGTTTGGGCCTGTAAGTCCGCAGCAGGAGTCGGAAACCTAAAATTTATTGAAAGCATAATGAATAAAAATGTTTATCTTAATATCCTTAAGGACAATTTACTCCAAAGTGCTGAGAAATTGAGAATAAAACAGGGTTTTCGGTTCTACCAAGACAATGACCCAAAAGCAAAAGTCGGCTATAGTTCAATATTGGCTGGGTTATAATTGTCACCATATAATGAAATCGCCAGCTCAGTCACACGATTTTAATGTTATTGAGAATTTGTGGGCTTTGCTGGACTCCAAAATTCGGGAGCGCAATATTTCCAATAAAAATGACTTGAAGTCGGCTTTGCTCGAAGAATAGGCTAAAATCACCCCAGGAACCACAAAAAAATTGGTCGAATCTATTCCCAATCGACTGAAGTCGGTTGTGGACCAAAAGGGCGGACATACCAAATACTAAAAGTTAAAGAAATATTTTTTTTGAAATTTTTTATAATTAATTTGATGAACTGGGTCAAATAAGCTGTGACATTGAAAAAGGCAGTATTTTTAGTTTTTATTGTTTAATTAAGAAGTTCCTTGCTAGAATAAATAAATGAAAACATATTTTTGAAGTAAAAACAACAGTTAACCTTTCTGCGTTTTATTTTTATGGGTATCTCCTCTGGTTCAGGAGTTATACCTGTTTAATGTTGAAAATTAGGTGTGGGTCAAATAAGCTGTGAGCCACTGTACGTACATACATACATATGTATGTACAATGTATGCATGTAATTTTGTTGGCAAATAAAATAATAATAATTATATAAGTCCAATTCCCATAATTCGAAGTTTCCTAATGGCAGACGGTAGCTTGGCCAGGGAGTTTCGACTCATTTGGGTCTGAAGTTCCAAGAACGTGAATAGATTCTCCCAGCTAACATTCTTTTGTTTATTACTCTGGGGCCTCCGTTTGAGATTAGAAATACAGTACATTTCGTACAAACGGCCCTCAAATTCGAATCGCAGCCAATAAGCCCAAAGTGCAGGGTACTCTGCAAACAGCCGCCAAGAAGGGCAATCGAAAACATGTAGTGTGTGTTCGGTTCGCCTCAACAATCGTCCACACAAACACAACCGTCGGCCACTGGAAACCGAGGGCGAACGCGTCAACGGATTTTTTTGTTACACACATTCTCTTGTTTTGCTCTGCACGGCTGTTTGGCTGTGTGTGTGACGCCGCTTTTCGCTCGCTTTTACTTTCTGTGGCTTGTGATTGTGATTGCAATTAAACGGCGTTTTCCATCCGGAGAGTCGCGCTCTTGGAGCGCCGAGAGAGCACTTTTGGACCCGTTGCCTGGCTGGATCAGCTAGCAGAGGGCTGCGACGCAGATAACGGGAACGGTGGCGAGTGAGAGCGAGCGGAGAGGAGCGAGTTGGCTCTCAGGGCGAGTGCGCGTGATTTTCTGGCTCTGAATGCGGGCTTGCTGCCAACTGCGCTGCCGACTCGAAGTAGCGCAGCGCCGCTGCCCGCTTGCGGCGGTGGTTGTTATTTTTTGGTCTTGGTTTGGTTTTTAGTCGCCGTTTAAACTTGGTCGTGAGAGGGTAGCAGCCCCAGAACCAGCCCGTTACCAGCCGCCCGCGATCGCGTCCCCAAAAGTGAGAGCCCTGGCCAGCTCAAGCCTGCAGATCCAGATCCTCCATCACATCCTCATGGCCCCAGTGAGCGGCTGTTCGCCCACCGCCACCCACTCGCTGCAAGACATGAGCGCCGCCGCCGCCGCCATCGCCCTTGACATGAAGCCCAAGGGGGAGTCCCACCCCCTAGCCGCCGCCACTGCCACTGCCCTGCCCTCGCAGAAGATCAAGAAACGTGCGTACCCAGATTTAGTGCCCCTATAGAGATATCAAACAATAAGAGTTACATCCATATGTACATATATATTTATGCGTAATACGGTCGAAGTGCCAGAAATCGAACGAGTTATAGAATTGATTTATACTCTTGTATTGTCAATGAACTATGATTTAGGAAAGTTCGAGTTGTGGAAGTTCGACTATGTGCATGTACATAAGTATGTATGTGCATAAAGTTTGACAACTAAAATCTTTAAAGTGGAAAAGATCTTAAAATGTATTAACAAGAAATTGATTTCTTTACATTTGTATTTATTTGCATCGCAGTGAAGGAGTCATTTTCGACCCTATGAAGTACAAATGTAGGAATATGTACATATATTTGTAATCAGCATCACCACATGAGTCGATCTAGCCATGACAGTATGTCCGTCTGCCCGTCCTTCCGTCTGTACCTTTTTACGCAAACTTATCTCACATTTTTAAAGCTAACTGGTTAAAACTCCCCCAAAACTCTCATTTCTATTGCAGGTAGTGTAAAAGTCGGAAAGGGCCGGATCGGTCGAGATATAGTAGTAACGGTTTTAGTTTTACAAAAGTCGGACAACTATATCATATTGTTGGCATATAAACGATTGACAAATTTATCAGAAAATCAGCATAGCTTTATTTTTTTAAACGTATGCGCAAAAAAATCTAGATATAGTATCCTTGTAGATTACTTTTTTTAACAGCTGCAAGGGTATAAAAACTACGGCTTGCCGAAGTTTGTTTCCTTTCTTGTTACAGTAAGCATTAGCTGTTGACATATACATATGTATATACATATGTAACGGTCTCTTCATGCAATGAACTGATAAAATCCCAGAATGTTCACTGCATCAAGTTTTTTAGTGTGAAGTGGCGAAATAATGATGTGTACTTTAATTTTAAGAACTATTTAATTTTTACCCTAACCGAGGGGATATCTGACCATATAGCCTTTTTTCTTATTTCATTGTCTATTACTTGTGTGGACAGTGGTGCGGCGCAACGCCTCCGACAAGCTAAAGCTCATCCAAATGGTTCACGACAACCCGATTCTCTGGGACTCGCGCCTCCCGAACTTCAAGGGCGCCGAGGAGGAGAAGAACCGCGCCTGGGAGCACATAGGTCGCGAGTTCAACGCTCCAGGGCGACGAGTGGCACGGGCCTTTAAGTCGCTGCGTGAATCATACCGCCGTGAACTGGCCCACGTCAAGCTGATGGGCAATGGATTTAAGCCCAAGTGGAGTCTCTACGAAGCCATGGATTTCCTTCGCGACGTCATCAGGGAGAGAAAGTGAGTACAAAGAGAAGTTAAAACAGCAACATAACATAAATATCACAGATATAGTTGTCTAATTAAAAAAAAGGGCTTACAAACATATGTGCTCAGAGAAAATAATCAGGCTTAAGGGAGGAGATACTTTATTGATTTTTTAAATGTAATTGTATATATATATATAGTTCAAAAAATATAGTTAAATTTGCCTAGAACATACTCTCAAAATTTAAAATCGATTGGAAAAATACTTTTATCGATATAAGTTGTGGAAGTTACGCTCTTTGATAATTTAATGTCACTGGTCTCAATTAATTTGTGTTATTCTTAATTATTCTTGTTTGAATCCAGTAAACTGTGTAACTCAGCTTTGTAAATCAAGTAAATAAATTAATTAAAGAATTAGGTTTTTAAATTTTATCTAATTTAGAAATGAGTAAAATAAATTTACTGATCCTATATTCCCTTTGTTTATACAATTAATTTTTGGATATACTATAATAAACCATTACAATCCTTAATTTCCGAAATTAGTTCTACTAAATCCTATATTCACGATATTCTCAATTATTATATTCATTCTCGTAATTTTTACCTTGGACTTTAGTTTTATGAAAGCCAGTTATCTAATTTTTTTTTTTAAATATTGTGGTACACTCTCAAATTTATTAGTGTCAGGAGCCCAATCGGTTACTTTTATTACAATGTCTTCGATAAGCCACTAGCCATCGATCGAGTCATGAGCAAGGGTTAAAGTGCAGCTTGAATCGTGAATAATGCCTTTCCGCTTTGGCTTGTTCTAAGCATATGCGTTTGAGTTTGTCAGACACAGCTTGATTCATTCTGAACTGAGAACTGTAAACTTGAGTCTAGCAGACTATGTCCCTAGGTGAGTCACCATCCTCTCACCGATCTTGTACATAAGGCGAAAAGATGTTGTGTGGTATTTGGCCCGCGCATGCAAAGGTTTTCCCAAATGTAGCCCCCTCTATATAAATATATATATGGTATTTCTTGTTCGGAGTAATCAGTGAGGCGAACCTTGGTTAACGGTCTCAATCAAATGTTATTGCAGGCTAATTCCACGAAGCTAATCATTTCTATGTTTATTCTGTTTAATTCAAAAATCGCTCAAAGAACGAATATCGCAAAATAGTACTTTTAAGAAAAGTACTTTTACGATAAATAAAAGAAAGCATGACAGAGGAATAAAATGGTTCGTGTCACATCAAAAAATTAGACGGCCGAGCTTTGGAATATTCTGTAAATATCTGGGAGCTACTTTAAAAGTATTTTCTATACACAACACATCCTTCTTAGCCTCTTAGCCCTGTCGATTTGCATAAATGCCCAGCAAGTCAGAAAAATCTCAGCTGTGTCTGAAAAAACATCTGCCCAGCGAAAAAGAATAGCAAAAACAACGCACAGGGGCATATGGACACTAAGGAGCGGTAATATGGAAAAAACCAATCCGAACAAAGGAATGACCGGGCCAGAGACCAGCAAATGGTCTCAGTCGAGAGTCTGCCCCGTCCAATGTTCTGGCTCTTATGGAGCCGCGCTCTAGCTACGGGTGTGTGTTTTGTACTTTATGTACATATTTATATGAAATAAGGCCATTTCCTTTCAATTGACTGTACCCACATGGGCAACAAGCAGTCGACGGCCCCGACACATGCCCGCGCACACTCACCCATGGTGTGTGTATATATTTAAATTTTTATTATTTTGAGCTGATAACAGACAGCTCAACGGGCCCGGCCAGTCGGGTAGCGCTTGAGCCGGAGCTATAGCCATAGCCATAAAACAGATCTCGCCAAGCGTCGAGTACTATATAACAGCGGCGCAGCATCGTCGCTACTTGAACCAAAAACCAAATTGAGGGAAGCTGCAAACGCAAGACCAACGAAAAATACTGCTGGAAGTGACAGGGGGTTATGGAGAAGGCGGCGAGAGAGCGATAAATTAATGAGAGCACTACGAAAATGACAATCAGCACTGAAGAATACGGATTGCGAGTGGACCAAGTTAGGAAAGAATCGCAGCTCGCGATCGGGAAAGGGGCTGCTGAGGGAAAATGAGCGGGGTTCTGTCTGTATATGTATGTATGTGTACAAAACATATATACACATCAGTGTATGGGTGAGCAATTGAACGAATCGCTCGGCTCGGCTTCGGCCAGGGTTAAAAATATGCCCACGACCGTTAGCCAGCCACGACGGTCCCGGCCAAGGGGGTTGCTCTGACCCAGAGACGGGGCCTGGACCCCTCTCCCAGACCCCACACCCATACCCATGCCCACACTCACTCTTCACTCAGTTCTCTCTCGATCTGGGTCTGTCGTACCCACACACACGAGGCCGCTTGGGTGTGAATGTTCTGTCGAGCTCTGTCTGTGTCACGCTTATGATTTAATAAGCAAATGAGCTGCGAAATTGCTGAAATTGTTTTGCTCCCCTCCATCTGCACCCTCCGAATCTCGCACCACTCCCCGAAATCACTGTCCGGCGAATTTCGTCTTGGAATGCTTTAGCCAATGCGTCACTGGAGAAAAGTGGGCGTTAACCCTCTGGGTTAACGGGGCTTGGGGGTCTTCCAAATATCATGGGACTAAAGCTTATCACGGGTTTGGAATTGGACATGGGCGTGCTTAAGCCTTTTAAAGATGATATTAATCGATTTTTATAAAATGGTTTCTAAGTGCAAGTTGACAAATTTAAAGATAAGACTCCAAACCTTCGAAACACACGAAATACGCCACAAACCATAAATGGCTCGGGACCCGGACCAGAGCGGAAGCAAATATTGATAAGCCAAGCGATTCAAACCCCGAAAAGAAACCAAACTAAATTAGAGTCAAGACCTTAAAAGCCGCAAACAAATAGAGCCATTCCCGATTGTAGAACATGTGAAAATACATTTTGCCTTGATTAGTCCTGCGAGATATTTTGTCTGGGCAGACGAGTATCAGTTTTCAAATTTTCACCGATTGTCAACTACCTGCGGGCGATATGTGTATGTGATAAGCCGGGGAGCGAGAACTTCAGCGAGGACTGGAAAACGCGCTATGTCCCTACGAGTGGGCCAGGCCACGACATTTGGCAAATACACGAAGAGATGGGGAAGACCGAGAATAGCCACGTTCAGGCGTTTTCGAGCACCCGCCATTAGGGCAGCTGCATTGTCTGGGAAAATGCGCTTGAAACTTGAGACGCGTTCAGGGAGAGACAGGAAACCAGAATACTTGTTTGGGACGTCGAAATAATTTCTTTTTCTCTACTGTTCTGTTTCCCGTCTTCTTGTATTAATGCGTCGAACTGGCTTTTGGGGTTTGTATGTATGCTCACGGTTCCGAAGTGGGGCTATGAATAATTTGTTCTATTCTTGGGACGAAAATATCTCTCAAACTGGCCACCAGGATCATACAACTAAAAGTGTTGTACTTATCTACTCATCCCTATCTGAACATTATCACGTTAATTAAAATTATGAGTTAATTTTTATTAAATTTAAATTAATACAAGGTAACATTATCAATAAAATATACATGTTTTTGAAAATAAATTAAATACGGGCTTTCTTCTTTGCATGGTCTTGCTCGACCTCAAATACAGCCATGTAAGAATCGTTTCGCTTTGATTTATCAATACTTACTTATTTTAAAACAATAGACTTAACAATTTTAATGGCACTTCTAGTTTTTGCTACATTTAGAGGGTGTTGACGCTGGTTAAGAATACGTTATTGCATTAATGTGATGTGATATATTTTTAAAGGATTAAATAAAATTTTTTGACAATAAATTGTAATCATATTCCACTTAAATTATCGATTTATGTTCGATCCAATTTCATTTTTACTGAAATTATTATTTTCAAACGTTTTAAAATTCCAGTTCGTTAAATCGACATTTTAGAAATTTCTGAAACGCTGACCCAATTAGAACTAATCATATAAATTAAATTAAACATGTTTGTATGTAAATAGGCAGTGGTTGAATCGTATCAAAATGGTCAAAAACACCACAAAACAATTATACTTAACCACTGATAACATTATTTACTTGACAAATTAAAAATACGCTACTGAAAAAATGACTTTAGGTCTTGAATTGAATCTTGTAGCGGAGGAAAGCCTTTTGTGTTTTCAACGGTGTGAGAAATCTTCCCGATATTCCATCCGGCAAATAAAAGTACCAACAAGAAAAAAATTCTTTAAAAAAAATAAGATTTTTAAAATTGCTTTTAGGTGAATGTTATAGCTATTATATAATAGACATCAGCTTATCTACATTCCTTTGACGAGTTTGAAATCTTAACAACTTTTTGATAAATAATATAAAAATCAAACGATCGACGTTGCATTTTATTTCCTAGTTCTACCATTGAAATTTGTTATTGCTTTCATTTATTTCAGAGGCGCTTCGCATGCAACCGATCTCAGCCTGACCGCGTATGGGCAAATTCACAACAACAACAATAATAACAGCAACAGCATGGGATCAGCTGGAAAGGCAGTATCGCTGAAGCTGTCCACGTCCTTCAACGAGTCCGCCGCAGTGTTAAACCTTTCCAAGTGCTCCTCGCTGAACGTCAGCGGCGATGACTACTACTGCGACTACTATGTAAAACCGGAGCTGGATCTCTCGGTGGGAGGTGGGGCCGGAAGTAGCAGCAGTGGCAGTAGCTCCGGCGGCGGACCACTTCCGCTGCCCGCCCACCAGCACCAGGCGCACAACGACAGCCGGGTTAGCTCAACACGCAACGAACATCAACATCTTCAACACAGCTACGATGACATTGACGCCAGCTCGATCCGCAGCGGTGACGAAGACACCGGCCATGCATCCGACGGAGTGGAGGAGCTGGAGGCAATCGACGCGGACTTCCCATATCCGCTGATCCTGGACTCCAACTCCCGCGGGAGCACCAATGCGGGCGTGGATGAGGTGGCATCATCGCGCAAGCGTCGCCGCAATGTTGAGCAGGATGGTCAGGAGAACGGTAATGGCGACGGCGATGAAGTCATCGATGGCGACGACTATGAGGAGCAGATGCTCCAGCAGCACCGCCATCTCCGGCAGCAGCAGGGTGCAGCTGTCACCGGAGGCTTGGATCTACCACCCCCTCAAACTGTACGCGAGGTCCTCAACTCCAAGTTTTGCGGCTTCATTTCGGCCAAGCTGAACAGCATGGAGGACTCAGAAGCGGATAATCTAATGAACCGCATTCTTCTGTTACTTGTTCAGGTGCAGCAATGCGAGGGGTCCACAAAATAGGCGGCCATAGAGAAGAGCGTTTAATGCGCGAGGTGTAGTTATAATAGCCAAGAAAAGCTCATTATGGATTGATGCAGCTGCTCAAAGCAGTCACAACGGATTGATTTCTTGTCATTCGTTCTGACTTCCCTTGCCATAAGAATTATAAACATACTTGCCAATGCCAAATTTGTGCCATACCAAAAAGATCAATCGAGCAACTAGAAGAATGGCTTTACAAAGAAATTCTCTCATTTGCTTCGCTCTCATTTACAACAAAGAACAAAACTCAAAGAAAAGACAACACAAAGACGAAAAACAAAGAAAGTAGATGATGTAAGACCCATAGTTTAATAAAACTTTAAATGTTAATATCGTTTTAAGCCGATCAACTGTATATCATACTCATGCCAACGTTTCATCACATGAATCTATTCTTTTACTTGAAACTATTACTTTGCCCAGATTAGATCGTCGATTTAAAACATGATCACTTTCTTGTTAAATTGCAGACCTAGAAATTTGAATCCTCTATTGAAATAGCTTTAAATACCAACAAGCTATCATTTTACAGTTAGTTTTACACCGAAATGAATATTTATAATTTTCTGAAAGCAAAAAAATATTGCTTTCTACATTTGATCATTATTTGAATAAAACTCCTTAAAAGGTAGTGAAGGCAGTTTTAGTGCCGCTGATTCCAAGTTGGGAATATAGTTTACGGAGACTTTAAAATCGTGTATTCACATAAGCCATTTAGACTGTGTTCATGTCAATCGCAGCTTTAATTCTTAGTCAAAATTATGTTGAAACTCAACCCCTCGTTCACAGCCCGCATGAGCCATAGCAAACTCACACATTTGGCCAGATGACACGCATGCATTCCCGTAAAAACCCTCTTCAAGCCATTAATACAGAAGGCGTCATAAAAGCAATGAACAAAAAGACAAAAGATTAGAACAGCGCATGCGCCACGCATGAGATCCTCGCACATTGGAATGGCCCAAGGTAAGCAGATGTGGACCAAATTGCGTCCGGGTAGCGCTACTTATGAATGAAACCAGAAGCAACTTAGGGGACCACAAAGAGATTGAGGCATAGCCACATTGAAACCCAACGTAAACAACCCTTATAACGAGACTCGGCCTGGCCGAACAGAATCCGCTAACAGCATCAAACCCTTAAGAACAGAAGCAACAGAGTCTCGCATGCGCGGAAAATTGCCAAATATCAGATCTGGCTACGACGCAGTCTAAAACTGGTTTCTCAACGTAATGATGGCTGAATGGATTCATTGCCGGCATCCTTTCAGTGCCGACTAAGGGATGCTGCTTGGATTTTTGCTTGTGATTGACCAGAATTGGGTTATGCAGCAATCAAAGTCTAGCAAGCAGCCTAAAATTAATGGAGGCTGAACTTTTTATGTTATAAGAGCAGCACAAAAGGGTATATGGGTGTTATAGGATCGGATCAAAGAATTTGCGCAAAATATCTTACAACTTTTAAGCAGTTACATAGAATTCAAGGGCCGAAAACAAGAAGTTGTTCATAACTTTGTTATTATTTCGAACCAATCCCTTAATATCCTTGCAGATTTTTCAAAAAAATAAAATTAACAAAAAACAGCTAAATTTAACTATTTTCATGGGAACTATAGGATATGGCAGAGGATATTATAATTTCAGTCAAAAGTTTGCAGGGCAGTGAAAGGCATGTTTTCGACCAAATTGAGAATATATCTCCGTCTAGTCTCTCAGTTTTAAAGTTATTTGGATAAACGGGACGGATCGGTCTACTATATCATTACAATAGGAACAAAGGGAAATAATATAATAACATCTTAACACATATCCATTTACTCCGAGATTAAGTATATTTTAAAAATGCCAGATATACGATTTTAGTTTTATAAAGATCGGACGACATGATACAGCTGCCATAGGGAAAATCGGGAAAAAGGGAAATAAAATTATAACTTCGTGGTTCAGATATATGCTAAGAATCTATATACTTATAAATATAGTCATTATACCCTTGCAGAGGGTTTTATAATTTCAGTCAAAAGTTTGCAACGCAGTGAAGGAGACATCACCGAGCCTATAATGTATATAAATTCTTTATCAGCATCACCAGGAGAGTCGATCTAGCCATGTCCGTCTGTCCATTCGTCCGTTTCTACGCAAACTAGTCTCTCAGTTTTAAAGCGATCTGCTTGAAACTTTCCCAAAAGTTGTCTTTCTATTGCACGTAGTATATAGTAAGTCGGAACAAGCAGGATCGGGCGACTATATCATATAGTTCCCATAGGAACAATCGGAAAAAGAATTCAAAAAAATTATAACTTTGTTGTTTTAAATTTTTTTTTGTTCTTTTGGAATTACGATTTTATTTAAAATTAAATCGGACAACAATATTATGTAGCTAGAAGCGGTGGCAAAATGCTGCGCAAAATCGACATAGCTTCAAAGTTCAAAGCTGCACTTAGTTCTAAAGCCTAGTATCCAGATCGACGAAAACCGTACGCCAGTCATGAGAGAGAGCGAGAGGCAAACAGCTGGCGTTCACTTTTCGTCGGGCCTTTTTTTCACGTCGGTCCACAGATCGACGAAAAAAATACCAGAAAATTCCAATTCACAAAAGACGATTGCAGGTGTTTACATGTGAGGACAAAATGACATTAATACTATCTGGGGTGCCTCTTGTCAGAGCAAAATTTTTTTAGGTCCAGAATGTACGAAAAAACACAATAAAAGTGCAGCTATGAACTTTAAATTAGCAAATAATTATCAGTAAATTAAATTCTTTGTACACCGGCAGACTTGTCTTGCCAAGGTATTTGATAATATCTTTAAAAGGCTCTTTCCCGCAAATACGATATTTGAATTTTAACTGCTTGTCAACAAACCCAGCTGATTGACAGTACGACCATAGCACGCTTAAATCTGATGAACTCTCCAAATGTTGGTCACACTGGAAAGATTTAAGTTTTTACGCTAGCGTAATTGTTTGTCGATCTGGATACTAGGCTTAACAGGCGATTTTTCTAAGTTTTTTATTGTGTTTTTTCGTACATTTTTGACTTAAGGGCTCTAGTAACTTTTTAACGATTAATAAAAAAATCAAGATTTTTTATCATTTGTTTATTAAGCCTAGTATCCACTTCGACGAAAACCGTACGCCAGTCATGAGAGAGAGCGAGAGGCAAACAGCTGGCGTTCACGTTTCGTCAATGGTTTTTTCACCTTGGTCCTCAGATCGACGAAAAAATACCAAAAAAATTTCATAGCGTTGCTAGACTGCGGAAATGAACTTTGGGTGAACCCTAGCGAAAAGATTAAAAAATTTAATCTTTTGGAGTGCGCTTCTCACTGAACATTATAAGAAATGGAGGAAAAACTCAAAAAACTCGCAAAAGTCGATTGAGGTGTTTATATGTGAGGACAAAATAAGATTAATAATATATGAGGTGCCCTCTGTCAGAGCAAAATGCTTCTTGTCAAAAATGTACAAATAAACACAATGAAAGTTCAGCTATGAACTTTTAGCAAATAATTATCAGTACATTAAAAAAACAACTGTTAAATTTAAATTGTATAGTTTTTTAATTTCTTTGTACAGCGGCAGTTTTGTCTTGCCAAGGTAGTTGATAATATCTTTTAAAGGCTTTTTCCCGTAAATACGATGTTTGAATTTTAACGGCTTGTCAACAAACCCAGCTGATTGACAGTACGACCATAGCACGCTTAAATCTGATGAACTCTCAAACTTTTGGTCACACTGGAAAGATTAAAGTTTTTACGCTAGCGTAATCGTTTGTCGATCTGGATACTAGGCTTTAAACTTAAAGGAGTACATAAAATAAATTTCAAAAAAAAAAAATTAGTTTTCATTGAGTTATTCCTTCTTGAAGAAGAGGGGAAAAAAAAGAGGCCGTGTCCGCGTCGCCATGATATCTATGCTTGTAATTATCTGAAAAATAAAACAATGATAGATTCTTAATGAGTACGAATGTCGCTATGGCATGAACCACCAAAAAAAAAAAATCTTTTTTTTTCAAGAAATGGCGGCTTCTCAAAGAAAAAAGTCGATTTTTTTCACTAATTAGATTAGAACTTGAGTTAGAGTGGCGACCGCATCAAAAAAAGTAGTTTCGAGAAAAACGCGTTTAAAGTTCCAGTCGTTCGCTCAACTGGTCTAGTTGCCACGTCACTAAAACGGCAATAACTTTGAAAATAATTTGAGTTTTGAAAAATCCTTTTAGGGAGATATTTTTGAATATCCAAACTATCGAATTATGAAAAAAAAAATTTTTCGATTTTCTCAAATTTCTAGACTAGAAGACCCCCTTAAGGCTAGTACTCAGATCGACAAAAACTGTCCGCCAGTCATGATAGAGAGTGAGAGGCAAACAGCTGGCGTTCACTTTTCGTCAACGTTTTTTTCACCTTGGTCCTCAGATCGACGAAAAATACCAGAAAATTGCATAGCGTTGCCAGTCTGCGGAATTGAACTTTGGGTGAACCCAATTAATCATTTTTCCAATTATATTGTAGCCACTTTTTTTTACATTGACCTAAAAAGATTTTAAAAAAAAAAAAAAAAAAATATTATTTTTTTTTTTTTCTCTTATTTTAAACCCCTTCAATCCACTTTTCTATTTTTTTTTTTTTTTTCCCTCCTTTTTTTATAATTTTAAAACACCCAAAAAATTTAAAGCCTAGTAATCAGATCGACAAACGATTACGCTAGCGTAAAAATTTTAATCTTTCCAGTGTGACCAAAAGTTTGAGAGTTCATGAGACTTAAGCGTGCTACGGTCGTACTGTCAATCGGCTGGGTTTGTTTGACAAGCACTTTAAATTCAAATATCGTATTTGCGGGAAAGAGCCTTTAAATGATATTATCAAATACCTTGGCAAGACAAGTCTGCCGCTGTACAAAGAAATTAAAAAACAATACAATTTAAATTTAACAGTTGTTTTTTTTAACTTACTGATAATTATTTGATAATTTAAAGTTCATAGCTGCACTTTTATTGTGTTTTTTGTTACATTCTTGACCTAAAAAACATTTTGCTCTGACAAGAGGCACCACAGATAGTATTATTGTTATTTTGTCCTCATATGTAAACTCCTGCAATCGACTTTTGCGAGTTTTTTTTAGTTTTTCCCTCCATTTCTTATAATGTTCAGTAAGAAGCGCACGCCAAAAGATTAAATATTTTAATATTTATTTCACCCAAAGTTAATTTCTGCAGACTGGCAACTCTATTCAATTTTCTGGTATTCTTTCGTCGATCTGAGTACCGAGGTGAAAAAAAAGCCTGACGAAAAGTGAACGCCACCTGTTTGCTTCTCGCTCTCTCTCATGACTGGCGGACAGTTTTCGTCGTTCTGAGTACTAGGCTTTTCAAAGAATTCGATTTGTCTTACATAAACCCACCAAAAATAAAACGCTTCTCTCAGTTACACTGTAAATTAAAATAAATTTGTTAGTCCTGTAAATTTTTAGATTTCAGTAAAATAATTGCACTTTCTTGGATTATTAAGTTAGTTATTAATTTTATACTCCCGAGTGCAAGATTTAAACTCACTTTGTGTACTCATACCGAGAGAGACCATTATAGTTGGCAACCGGACTTATACTAGTTATCCCACGAGTCACCTGATGGCTTTGCCAGGCGTTTTAACACAAGAAACTGCCGCTAATTACCAGTTGTCCTTGAGTATGTGCACAAGGTGAGTCTTCAAAACCTGCTGAGGATGTCCAAAATGATTGGAAACCTACTTTATTCCTCGATCATATGGAAGCAAATATATTGGTGGTTTATTTATAAATTATTGCATCATTATTATAAATTATAAATTACACTGACCGTATAATATAAACACAGCTTTTACATTTTATAGTCAATACCTATGTAGATGGAACGATCAAAACAACTCGCAGAATTTCGTTTGTGGCCGTTTTCCCATTTCTTTTGTGTCTACTTGCATTTTATCTACTAGAAGAGACAATGAAAGTGTTTTGGCTTGGACCTTGGCCATGCCGTCGGATTTGCAGTTGCTTGCGCCTGCCTGGAATTCTATTTATGTTACATGTTCTGATCTTTTTCTAACATCTTGGATGTGGTTCTATCAGAGTAGTGCCCATCTCCAAGATATTTTCCTCCTCTCTTTCCTTTTCTTTTCCGGCAAACGTTTGCATAAGCCTTGGAGTTCGAGCGCAAAAACTTTATATTAGGTGTCCCGTATTCCATTTTATAACCGGATTCTTGCATATTTCGACCGCTAGGCTTGCTCTCCTTATCTACCTTGCAAAAGCATTCATGGCTTCGCCAAACGTCGTTTTTGGCTTTGTGACAATGGTCAGATTTATTTCTGCCAGCTTCACAACAGTCCGCCTGGAAACAAACTCCATTTGCTCCAACCAAGTCCTCGAGACGCCCTCGCAGTTGACAGAGTATCTTGTTTTGCTTAGCCCGGACGTTGCCTGGGAAGGATGAGTTGCATCGCATGCCCGATAGCTCGTCGTCCTGCCTGTGGTCAGTTCCATCCAATCCCTGGGCTATTAGGCGTTCTAGATCTTTGAGCAGGCTGTCCCTCTTACCGGACGAAGCCGAGGCTATCTGGCGGAGCCGAAACTGAATTTTGGCATAGTGGGAAGAAATCGTGAAAAGAGCCTCCTGCAGCTGCTCGACGTCGTCCTCGAGCTGGCACTCGTAAGGAGTCTTAGCTCGGCTGAACATGCGGCCTTCCGAGTCAAGCTCGGTGTAAAGTCGCCCATTTCCAGGCAATGAAGTTGACCACATATTTTGCTTGTCGGGATACAACGACCTCTTCCTTCCGTTCTTTATAACTAATAATTCAAATCATAAGCTTGATGTTATTTTTAGAGTTAAATTTACATTTGAAGCCCAGAACTTACTAAATCTAAGGTTGCCTTTAGAAGGAACTTCCAAACTTGATGATAATTCCATAGAGTACCTGTGTGACGCAGACGCAATACAATACTGCCAGGAACACAAGGAACCTGAGAAGTGTATTCATAGGTGCAGGTACAAATTATTTGCTTGTTGACCAAACGCTTACTAGAAATTTTGAGTTGTCTAAGTCAAACACCCGAATGATTAAAGGTTTTGTTTATAAAAACGATTTTCTTGATTTTTTATTGCTCTGTATTTTATGTAACTCAACGAATTTTATTTATAATTATAATTTATAATTTCAAATTTTATTTTCATAAATCATTTTTATATATCAAAAGCAAGCCTTATTTTAAGTTTTAAAAATAACGTTTAATTTTGTTGGGGTACTTTATATACCCTTGCAGAGGGTATTATAATTTTGGTCAAAAGTGTTCAATGCAGTGAAGGAGACATCTCCGACCCTATCCTGAGTGGATATAAGCATGTCCGTCTGTCCGTCTGTCTGTTTCTACGCGAAGACTAGCTCTAAGTTTTAAAGCTATCGAATAGAAACTTTGCACACACCCTTCGTTCCTTTGCTCGCAGTATATAAGTTGGAACGGCGGACTATATCCAAAAGCCGCCATATAACTGATTGATCGGAAATGCCATAACTTTGGGGTTTGTAAGGTTAGGAAGTTGGGATTTTCTATAGGTTTTATTTTTGGGTAATCAATCCGACCTAACATAAGGATCGGCCGACTACATCCTATAGCCGCCATATAACTGATTGATCGGAAATGCCATAACTTTGGTGTTTGTAAAGTTAGGAAGCTGGGATTTTCTATGGGCTTTACAGATTATTCTGCAAGGCTATATCAACTTTGGCTCCGCCCGAAGTTAGCTTTCCTTTCTTCTTTTAAACTCCTATTTGTTAACGGCAAGGTTTTTAACGCGACATTCTGAAAACAATCTTTCTGATCTAAAATTTGGGGATAAAAAATAAATTAACATTCGACTATACCATATTTACTTTGTTAAGAGGTGTTTTTGATATCAGAAGCTTTTATTCTAACTAAATTTAAAGTAACTCAATACCATAACCATGACTTTGTAGTCGATGGAGAGTCGATGTAGCCATGTCTGTCCGTCCGCCCGTCCATTTGTCCGTCCGTCCGTTTCTACGCCAACTAGTCCCTCAGTTTTAAAGCTATTTGCTTGAAACTTTCCCAAAAGTTGTCTTTCTAGTGCTGGTAGTATATAATTCAGAACGAGCCGGATCGGCCGACTATCATATACATAGCTACCATAGGAACAATCGAAAACAAATTAAAACAAGAAGGGAAAGCTAACTTCGGGCGGAGCCGAAGTTTATATACCCTTGCAGAATACTCTGTAAATTATTTTCTCCAAAATTATTCATATGATGCATTCTACACCAAAGTTATGGCATTTCCAATCGTTCAGTTATATGGCAGATATAGGATATAGTCGGCCGATCCTTATGAAATTTGATAGGTCGGATTGAAATAAAGCCCATAGAAAATCCCAACTTCCTAACTTAACAAACACCAAAGTTATGACATTATGACATTATGACATTCCGATCAATCAGTTGTATGGCAGCTAAAAGATACAGTCGGCCGATCCTTATGAAATTTGGTAGGTCGGATTGATTGTCCAAAAACAAAACCCATAGATAATCCCAGCTTCCTAACTTTGCAAACACCAAAGTTATGGTATTTCCGATCAATCAGTTATATGGCAGCTATAGGATATAGTTGGCCGATCACGGCCGTTCCTACTTATATACTGCGTGCAAAGGAAAGAAGGGCGTGTGCAAAGTTTCAATTCGATATCTTTAAAACTGAGAGACTAGTTCGCGTAGAAACAGACAGACGGACAGACGGACAGACAGACGGACAGACGGACATGGCTATATCAACTCAGGAGGTGATCCTGATCAAGAATATATATACTTTATAGGGTCGGAGATGTCTTCTTCACTGCGTTGCACACTTTTGACCAAAATTATAATACCCTCTGCAAGGGTATAACAAGAAAGGAAAGCTAGCTTCGGGCGGAGCCGAAGTTGATATACCCTTGCAGAATATTCTGTAAATTATATTCTCCAAAATCGGATCGGTTATTCATATGATGCATTCTTAATACTTGTGGCAACCCGCTGCAAATATCGAACCCTACAGCAGCGGATCCGAAGGTGGGAACCCTGACAACGTGGCATGAGGAATGCGGGCAGTCTAACATATACCGCTAGCAAACCAACAGTGTGTGGTCTCGGAATAAAAAGAATGAATTCAGTTTGGAATATAAACGTGTTTTTATTGCTAAGAGATATCCATTTTGTGAGTTATTACATTGGCGACGAGGTAAAACAGAGACCTATAATTGGTGAATTCTAAACATACATTTAAGAGGAATGGCTGCAAATGAAAATAGTTTTATTGGCATTGCAGTATTTTAGTGCGCATGTATGTGTGACTTGCAAGAACAGTCCTTCTGTTTCTTCCTTTCGGTCATTCGTTGCCGAATGGTGGGAATGACAGAGGAATTCGTGAATTCGAGAATACATCGAAACAAAGTCAATTGAGTCAAAAAGAGAATTTTGATTCAAAGGCAAAAACGAATACATAGCTCCACTTAAGAGAGGGACTGAGTGACACTAAGTTGCAAGTCATGAGAATTATTGTAAAAGCGCAGAGGAAAACGCAAAACAGAAATGCGAAATAATTAACTGAGGAACAGTTAGTTTCAAGTTAAAAAATGAAAATAATTTTGAATCGAATTATTGGTTACGATTGAGACCGTAAGCCAAATCATAAGCTGACACAGTCAGAGGCAGTTTGCCAAATCATAAGCTGACACAGTCAGAGGCAGTTTGCCAAATCAAAAGCTGACATGGTCAGAGGCAGTTAGCCGAAAACACAAGCTGACACGGTCAGAGGCAGTTAGCCCTAATAAAAGTAAAAAACAAAATTTTTTTCTTTTACTTTCAGATAATAAATAACAAGATGTGCGAAAATATTATTAAACCGTTTCTTTGTGATGGGAAAAATGGCTTCGGGCATTCATAATATATATCGAAACCCCCAGTAAGAGACGGAGCAAATTACTTCACTTGGGAGGCGTTGAGTTACAAACGGTCGCTTATTCGTTGCCCGATGCTTTGATCGATCCAGACGAGGATAAACAGACTGATGTATTTTTGGTGTTGGTGAATAAACTAAATGATTATTTTTCGCCAAAGCAAAACTCAACCTTCGAACGGCATCTGTTTAGGAGCCTTTCTCCTTTGGAGGGCGAGAGTTTTGCGAAATTTATTGTCCGTTTGCGTCAGCAAATGCAGAAATGCTGTTTCGGAACCACAAAGGCCGAAATTGAAGAGATTTGTTTAAAAGATAAAATTATGGATTCCTGGACTTCCTTTCAATTAAAGAAAAAACTATTGGAAAAAGAACACACGTTGGCTGAAATCATTGAAGCTTGTCGAGTAGACGAGGAAATTAGTAAGCAATCCAAATCGATGCTAGCCAAATCGGAAGAGACAATAAATAAGATATTCAACCGAAACTCTGAAAAGGAAACCGAATGTGGCAGATGTGGTCGCATCGGGCACGCGCATGATAACGCCACATGCCCTGCACGGCAGGTTAAGTGCAACAAGTGCACTCGCATCGGACATTTCGCCCGGAAATGCAGAACAAGTTTCAAACGCCAGTACACACAGCCAAATAATAATGGCGCCAAGCGAGTACGGTCACACGTACGATGGGTTCAAGATGCAGATACCTATTCTGAAGTAAAGGCAACGAAAGATAATTGTTTCCGTATCTATAGTGATGGTGAAGACGATGAATTCATTGATTGCTACATCGGTGGCCAACTTGTTTCACTAATAATTGACTCAGGATCCCGTTTTAATTTAATCAGTCAATTGGATTGGTTGTCAATGGAACAAAACAAAGCAGTAGTCTTCAACATCAGATCAAATTCCGAGAGACAGTTTCGTGGCTACGCCTCAAACAAATTGCTCAGCGTAATTTGTGTTTTCGAGGCTCCCATATCAGTCGGCTCAAACACAGAGGTAGTCGCATCATTTTATGTAATTGAAAATGGGACACAATCACTATTAGGCCGAGATACCGCCATACAATTGAAGGTCCTCGCATTGGGATTGCAAGTAAATCGAATGGAATGCATTACCCCGTTTCCCAAGTGGAAAGGAGTGACGGTCAAGCTTTTAATTGACCCGAAAGTGAGACCCGTACAACAGCCTATGAGACGCATCCCAGTTGCGGTCGAGAATAAGGTTTTGGCTAAATTGGAAGAAGCATTAAACAACGACATTATAGAGCCAGTGCACGGCCATAGCCCTTGGATCTCACCAATCGTGGTAGTTTTTAAAGAAAATGGCGATATACGTATGTGCCTGGACATGCGGATGGCGAATAAAGCAGTAAAAAGGGAACACTACCCACTGCCAACTTTTGAGTCATTCATGACTAGGTTGGAAGGAGCAAAATATTTTTCGCGAATTGATTTAAAGGATGCATACCACCAATTAGAACTGGATGAGGAGAGCCGACAGATAACAACATTCATAACGCCAAAGGGGTTGTTCCGGTACAAGCGTTTAATGTTCGGAATAAATTCAGCTCCTGAGATATTCCAACGGCGGCTCGAAGAACTGTTAGCGCCTTGTTCCAAGGTCCTAAACTATATAGACGATATCATTATTTTCGGAACAGAAGAAGAACACGACAAAACCGTCACGGAAGTCCGATCAATATTTAAGGAAAATAATGTCTTGCTAAACGATTCAAAATGTGTTTGGAAAACGAATCGTTTGAAATTTTTAGGCCACATTTTATCTGACAAGGGAATTAATGTTGATCCGGAGAAAGTGACGACCATCACGTCTTTTCGAAATCCGAAAAATAAGGAGGAGACCCGAAGCTTCCTTGGTCTCGTCACATATGTCGGAAAGTTTATCCCGGACTTGGCCGATCGCACTGAACCACTACGACAGTTGTTAAGGAAAGAAATTAAATTTGTTTGGGGCCCTAAAGAGAAAGCAGCGTTCGATGATTTAAAAATTAGATTGGCCGAAATACCCAGACTCTCGTATTTCAACATAAACCACCG